CCCCCCCTTTCCCCCTGCCCGCCCCCCCCGCTCACCCGACAGCTCCTCGCCCGCAGCCGGGGGGGCTCCCAGCACCACCAGCACCGCCAGCACGGCCCCAGCTCCCCGCACACGCTCCATGCCCAGCGCCGGACAGCTGCTGACACCCCAAAACCAGCCGGGTGGAGACGTTTTGGGGGATTTTGGGCGCGCTCGGATTGGCTGAGAGCGCAAAGTGCGGCGAGGGTTTCGTGCACGGTTGGAGCCTTGTCTTCCCGGCGACTGATGAGTCATCAGCGCGGCGCGCTGGGATTGGTTGCGGGCGGCGTGGGCGCTTTGGGATTGGCTGAGGGCCGTTGGGGGCCCCCGCGGCAGCCCCGGGGCCTTTGGGGGGGGTCCGAGGTGGGTTTTGGGGGGTCCCGGATTCCTGGGGATGGGATTTAAGGTGATCTGGGTGCGTTGGAATCATGTCCTGGGTGGCCGCGGGTGCCCAATAATTCCCTGTTCCCGGGATTTTCGGGGTCTGGGAGTGCCCAAACCCCCCTGTTCCCAGGAGTTTTAGGCTCTGGGAGTGTCCTAATCCCTCTTTTCCAATGTTTTGGGGTCTGGGAGTGCTCAAACCCTTCTGTTTTTACAGGTTTTGGGGCCTGGGAGTACTTAAACTTCTCTCTTCAAGGATATTTTTGGTCTAGGAGAGCACAAACCCCCCTGTTCATGGGGATTTAGGTTGCTGACATTTGAACAAACCTCCCTTTTTCCAGGATATTTAGGATCTGTTGTGTCCCTAACCCCCTTGTTCCCAGGATTTTATGGGTCTGGGATTGCCAAAACCCCCCTGTTCCCAGGATTTTGTGGGTCTGCGTGTGCCCAAATCCCCCTGTACCCAGGATTTCTGTGCTCTGGGAGTGTCAAAGCTGCTGTTTTCCAATATTTTGGGCTCTGGAAGTGCCCAAACCCCCCCGTCCCGGGTGTTTTTATGGTCTAGGAGAGCCCATACCCCCGTGTTCCCAAGATTTTGGGGGTCTGAATGTTCCCAACCCCCCTTTTCCCATGTTTTTTAGATGCTGATGGTGCCCAAACTGCTCTTTTATAAGATTTGAGGAACTGGGAGTGCCCAACCCCCCCGTTCTCACAATTTTAATGGTCTTGGAGTACATAATCCCCTCTTTTCCCGGATTTTGTAGTTCTGGGACAACCCAAACCCCCCGTTCCTGGTTTATTGGGAGGCTGACATTGCCCAAACCCCCCTGTTCCCAGGATTTTTGGAGTCTGGGTGTGTCCAAACCTCCTTTCTCTAGGATTTATAATGTCTGGGATGTCCAAACCACCCTGTTCCCAGGAGTCTTAGGGTCTGGGAGTGTCTAAGTCCCTCTTTTCCAATATTTTGGGCTCTGACAGTGCCCCAAATCCTGGTTCATGGGACTTTCAGGGTCTAGAAAAGCCCATACCCACATGCTCACAAGATTTTCGGGTCCTGAATGTTCCCAGCCCTCCTGTTCCAATGATTTTTGGGCTCTGGGAGTGCCCAGACCCCCCATTCCCAGGAGTTTTAGGGTCTGGATGTGCCTAAACCACCTTTCTCCAGGATTTTGTACTTCTGGGAGTGTCCAAACCCCCCTGTTCCCAGGATTTTTAATGTCTGAGAGTATCCAACCCCCCCTGATCCCAGGATTTCTGCAGTCTAGGAGTGTCCACATCCCTCTTTTCTGATATTTCGGGGTCAGGGAGTGTCCAAACCCTCCCGTTCCCAGGATTTTCAGAGCCCCCCCACTTCTCCCCAACAACCAGGACTGCAGAGCACTAAGAAGCTTTACTGGGAACACTGGGAACAGCTGGTTAGTGTGGGAAGAAATGCAGGGAAGGGGGGGACAGGCGACCCCCCCCAAATCAGCGCAGGGTTTGGGGGGTCCCGGCTGGGCCCGAGGCCACGGGGAGGGGCTGCGGCCGCCGGTGGCTCAGAAGCTCTGTGGGGAGAGAAAAGGGGGTGAGAGCAAAAGGGCTGGGGGGGGCAGGGGGGGCCCAGAGGCTGTGGGAGAGCAAGGGGGGGGACACGACCCCCGGGGACCCCCCTTTACCTTCTCCCGCAGGTAGAAGCCGAGCCCCAGCGCCAGGAAGACCAAGCCCAAGACGAAGCCCCCGACCCCCACCAGGATCTTGCTGCGGACGGTGTCCGGTGGCATCTCTGGGGGGAGCCGGGGGGGTCAGCACCCCCAAAACCTCCCAGACACCCCACAAACCCCAGCCCAGTCTCTCCCAGCCCACCCAGGGCTCCCTCAAACCTCCTGCCAGTCCCTTCCCAGCCCCTGCAGGGATCCC